TCATCATCTGGGTTACTTTCCAATTGTGATCTTCGCAGTGTCATCCTGTGATTGGTTGTTGGGAGTTCATCAGAGAGAGAGAACACTGTGTGTATTCTCCCCATTTGTGCATGGTTGTTATTCCGGTGTTTATCTCTGGTCTGTGTGCAGGTGGACTCTGTCTCTTCCTCCCCTGTGTCTCATGCATGTTTGGGCGTGTGTGAGTTCTTCTGTGTGTGAGTGGCAATAAAATTGTCAAACAACCAAGTTCATAACAATTGGTATCGGAGCGGAGATTGGACTTGGAGCTCAGAGGGTTGAGCGCAACAGGGGCAGCTTCTCTTTCTGGCACTAACTGGCGAGAAGTGCCATGGCGGTTCTTCCTCTTCAGTAAAGGTCCAGTGGAAGAGAAGACAAACAAGCGGTGATTGCAGGGCATCGGTTTGCGAAGGCACCCTGAGCCTGTCTGAGTGCCTGACAGGAAGTGGCGAGAACAGGGGTATTCCGCCATCCACCCTTCTGACCTCAGTTGATGACTGGGATCAGGGTGGCGAATTATACCCTAATCCAGTAATAACTGGGTGGCGGCTTCAATCCCAGTGTAGCGCTGAGGGAGGGTTGACCGCAAGATCACCTCCTGCTAAATTAACCCTACTCAGGGCTAAATTTAGCACCAGCGGCTCATACCTGCAGTGGCGAGATACCTTCAGGAGAGTATTCTCTTGCCACTGAGCCTGATTTATTGAATCTCAGAGGTGGGGCTGAATCGCCACATCATACTGGAGCGGATCAACAAGTTTCAAGAGATTCTGTACGTGGGAAGTTGTGGAAGAGAGTCTGCAAGTGTTGGCGAGACCAGGGTTTGGCAGCCATGGCCAGAGCTTCATCACCCACTGAGTGAAATACTTGAAGTGAGTGTGTTCCATGGGACTCCCTGAGTAGCGATTAGATTAGTATCAGTAAAAATAGAAATGATGGTCTGTCTGTCTGTAGAGTCACAATCGTGAAATTGTTAGACTGCAAGACAACCATATCCAGTTTCTTCCTCCCTACCCTGACTCATATCTCATCATCTACTGACCTGTTCTGACTCAAAATTGTTATGGGACTGTATGACAGTATTGCGCTGCATCCTGTATGATCATACTGTGAATTCTGTGTAGGAAAAGTAGTGATACTGTGGATTTGAGTTTTGCGCTGAGTCTATTTACAGTTTGTGCTATCTAGGGTCAGTCACAACTCAAAATCTGTCCGTCAAAATTCCAGTCTGTCAGTCTGGGGTGAATCGCAACTTGGTTTCTGTCATCTGTGCTCAAGCGCAAGTCCAGAAACAGTGAATTTGGGTCCTTACAGTGAAATCATGAAATTCGCCATATCTGGGGTTATTTTTGTTGATGTCAACAGTGGCGAAATTTGAGTCTAGGGCTGTCAGGGTATAGGTTACTGCATCGCTACTACTTGTTGTACTGTTTCAGTCAGTTCTTGCCTGTATCCATCAATACTACTAATCTTCTCTGCTTTCTGACGGGCTCTGGAATATTAGTGACCCCTGGAATGTTGTGTAAGTGTATGTTGCAACTTCAGTGAAAGTTCAGTGTCAGGTATAGGAAATCGTTAGTGCATGATTTTACTAGACATCCACTCAGCCTGACTACTGACCCCAATGGCCCTATTCCAACCCTAACCGTTTGTGCCCACTAACCCACATTACTCTGTGAATTGACAGTGCAGCGAATTGTGAGTGTATGAGGGAGCTGTAAATCGCTGCACCTCCTACTGTTTTACTTTGTTAATTGTTTGTTCTGAGAGGGAAAATGTATGAAACCGCTAACACAGGTGCAGGGAAGGTGGAGATAGTGGTTAAGGATGAGGGTCAAGCTTCACCCTCAACAACTCCTCCTCCCCTGACCCCTGCGCAGCGACGCAAGAAGGAGATCCAAGAGAAACTGCGAGAGCAACAGGCGCTGCTCGCAGGGGCAGAGAGACAAGAGGCTGCAGAGCTGGAAGCTGCGACAGATGCTTCCAGAAAAGAGCATCTGTTGCAGCAGGCTCATAAGACTTTTACAGATGCCAGAGTGGCCCAGTGTACACGGGACCTGGCTGAGCTGATATTGTTGCAGGTCAAACTTACAGCCAGCCACTTCACAAACTGGGATGAGAGGATCCAGCGGCTGGAGACCAGAGTGGCTGATCTGGGAACTCAGCAGTCGAAGATCCTGGATGCAATCCAGAATCTGACTGCTCAGCTAACAGCAGCCAACGTCATCAGTCCCCTGGTCCCTGTGGTCCCCTCTCTAAAGCCCAAGAAGCCTTCTCAACCCCCTTCTCCACCTCCTTCTCCACCTCCTGGGTCTCCTCACTCTTCTCGCAAGGCTTCTCCCTCTGTCTCCTCCCAGGCCAAAGCCACACCTCCTCCCACCTTTGCTGCTGTTGTTGCTGGGGACCACAGAGGTCCCAAGATCCCTGCCCCCAGCAAATTCAAGGGGGATGACCCCAGGATTGATGTGGGGGACTGGGCAGCTGGAACCCGGGCCTATCTGAAAGGGTTCCAGTGCCCAGAGCAGCAAAAGGTGGCCACCGTTGTGGGGCTGCTGGAGGGGCCAGCCCATAAATGGGCCACCTCTACAGCAAGCGCCCAGAATCAGACTTCGGAGGACTGGGCCTCGACACTGGGGGCTGACAAACTTTTGCAGGCCCTGGAAGACCGGTTTGCAGACAAAGAGAGAGTCTGCAAAGCTGCTGATAAAATAGTACGCTTGGGCCAGCAGCATTACAGCGGCAGTCTGCAGGCCTTATTTGCTGAGTTTGAACAACTGACTTCTACCCCTGGATTGGTTATGTCTGCTAATGATTTATTGACTAACTTTTGCAGGGTTGTGCCTGAAAAGTTTTGTGTTGCTTTGTACAGCGTCGGACATAAGGACTAGCGATCGTTTGGACGCGCAACACTGGACATGGAAAGGCGGCCTTTGCATATGCGGGTTCTGGGTCAGCTTCTGAGACAGGATCCCGGCCTGGTACACCGCCTGCTGGGACTGTTTCAGCTGTTGTCCCAGATGTTGCAGCAGTTGTTCAGCAGCTGCAGGCTGCACTGGGGGCTTTCCAAAAGGCCGGGTCAACCTCCAGCACAACCTCCAGCAGCAAGGGGAAGAGCCAAGGACGTCGCTCTTCAACCCCTGCCCGGCGCCCTAACCTGCCACGTGACGTCCACTTTCCAGCAGACCCTCTGAACCCCAACACTCTCCCATGGCATGATCTGAAGATCCAGGAGGGAGTGTGGAGGAAGAGGAAGGAAAGAGGTGTCTGCTTGAGGTGTGAGGGACAACACTTCTTGAAGGACTGTCCCTACATGCCTAGCCCAACTCAGCCAAAAAACTGAAGCCGAACCTGGAGACTGCAGTTCCCTCCAGTGCTGCACCTGCATCTGCAGCTGCAGCAGCTTCAATTGAGACTTGTTCCTTCCTACCCAGTGCGGGGACTGCGCGGGCAGCATCCTTCATCTATGAGGATCCTGACCCGGATCAGGAACTGGACCAGTCTGAGTGTCAGGCTCTTGCTGCTCTTTTCTTTCATCTGAAAGAACAAAAGCAGAACAAGTCTGATCTCATACTCCTCCGGCCCCTGATCAAACACACCAGGATCAAGGGGTTATTGGACTGTGGAGCCACCCGAAATTTCATGTCTCCTAGTGCAGTCAAAAAACTGCATCTGGGCATGAAAAGGGTGCAACTGCAGCAACCGCTGCAGGTCAGGATAGGTGACTCCATTGTTCTTACCATCAGGGAGAAGGTCAGGGGTATCCCTGTTACCTTCGACAGTGCTGGAGAAGTCAGACATAGTCTGAACTTCAACATATTCCCTGATCTACCCTTTGACCTGGTATTCTCTATGCAATGGCTGAGGGCAGTCGACCCAAGGATCGACTGGAAGATCCCCAAAGTTGAGCTGCCAAATAGCAAGGGGGTGTATCAGCCTTGTATGATTGCAGCTGATCACCACCCTAAGACCTCCTGCTTCTGCTTGAGAGCGAGAGAGTTCTATGCTCTCTCACGCCAGTACGACCATGAGCGTCTGTTTATAGCTCTGGTCAAGCAGACAGACGCTCCCACTACTCCCTGTCCTCCTGAGATACAACAGGTTGTGGACCAGTACGCTGACCTGATGCAGGAGCCCTTTGGGTTACCCAACCGGCCAACCAAGCATCACATTGAGGTACTGCCTGGAGCGGTCCCTCCCAAGGGCCGCATCTACAGGATGTCACCTGCTGAGCTTGAGGAGCTCAGGCGACAGCTTGAGACCCTGACCAGCAAGGGCTGGATGAGACCAAGCACTTCTGAATTCGGTGCTCCAGTCCTCTTTGTTCCAAAGGGGAGTGGTGAGTTCAGAATGTGCATATACTACAGGGGTCTCAACAAGATCACTAGGAAGAACACAGAGCCACTTCCTAGGATCGATGACCTTCTGGATATGGTCCAGGGCTGCACCATCTTCAGCAAAGTCAACCTCAAATCTGGCTATCACCAGATTGAGATGGCAGAGGAGGACGTCCACAAGACAGCCTTCAATAAGGCATGGTACTTATGAGTACTTGGTGATGCCATTTGAACTTTGCAATGCACCTGGCACATTCCAGACTGAGATGCACCACATATTCAGGCTGTACCTGGATAAGTTTATGGTTGTCTACCTGGATGACATCCTGATATTCAGCAAAACTACCAGGGAACATGCGGAGCACCTGGCTTTGGTTCTTCAATCGTTACGTGACAGTCAGTACAAGATCAACAGGGAGAAGTCCTCTTTTGGAGTTCCCTCTGTTATCTATCTGGGTCATGTAATCTCTGGAGATGGACTGGCCCCTGAAGCAGCCAAAGTTGTCGCTATTCAGGATTGGCCACAACCCCAGACGGTGAGAGATGTCCGGTCTTTCTTGGGTCTGGCCTCGTACTACAGAAAGTTTGTCAGGAACTTTTCTGCAGTGGCTACACCCCTGACTAACCTCACAAAGAAAGACACTCCCTTTCTTTGGTCCCTTCACTGTCAGATGACCTTTGCACAACTCAAACAGGCCTTGACTCGTGCACCTGTTCTGAAGTTGCCTGACCCCACCTTGCCTTTTGTGCTGACTACTGATGCTAGCCAGTATGGCATTGGGGCAGTCCTTCAGCAGGATGATGGGAATGGTCTGAGACCTGTAGAGTTCATGAGTAAGAAGATCATGACTCAGAAGCTTCAGGACTCTACCTACGAGGAAGAGCTTTATGCTCTTGTCAGTGCCGTGAAACACTGGAAACACTTTCTCCTGGGCAAGCACTTCAAGATCTTTTCTGATCATTCCACTTTGCAGTGGTTGAAGTCCCAGGGAGAGTTGAATGATAAGTTGACACGTTATATTCAGTTCATTGATCTGTTTGACTTTGAACTAAAGCACAAGAAGGGCTGCTACAACAAGGTAGCTGACGCCCTCTCTCGTAGGCCTGACTCTTTTGCACTGATCTCCTCCACTCATTCCTTTGGAGAAGAGGTCCGTCAGACCATTGCTCGTTCACTGCCTCAGGATCCGGCTTATGGACCCATCGTCAGGAATCTCCAAGCAGATCCCAACTCTGAACCTGGCTATGCCCTGAGTTCAGATCTGTTGTATACCTACAGCAGAGGAGAGGAGCGCTTGTGCATCCCTGAGAATCAGCAGGTGCGGACACTGCTGATGTCAGAGTGCCATGACGCGCGTGGACACTTTGGGTTCCTAAAGTCGTATGCAGCCCTGTCGTAACGCTTCTTCTGGAAGGAGATGCGGAGTGATATGCTGCGCTATGTGGACACATGTGAGCTCTGCCAAAGGAACAAGGTTCAGCGTAAACCTCCTTTGGGATTGCTCAAACCTTTGCCCATACCTGATGGTCCTGCCCAGTCTGTATCCCTTGACTTTATAGGCTTAGGCAAGACTACCCCTCGTGGCATGCGTCATGTTATGGTCTACGTGGACAGGTTTTCCAAATACGCAGAGTTCGTCCCCTTGCCAGAGGTAGCCAGGGTACCGGCTGTGAGAGCAGCCTTTTCTGATAGGTGGGTCACACACCATGAACCGCCCACTTCAATTGTTAGTGATCGAGACCCCAGATTCTGCAGCGATGAGTGGCAGTCCTACTGCAAGGACTATCTGCACTCACGCCTGGACATGACTTCTGCTCGTCATCCTGAAGCCAATGGATTGGCTGAAGTGATGAACCAAGTCCTGTTCCAGTTGCTACGTCCTGTGATCTCTCCAGATCAACAGGACTGGGATCTCCACTTGGCGAGGGCACAACTCATGTATAATATGTCTGTCCACTCCTCGACAATGTTCAGTCCCTACCGACTACATTGGGGACGTGAGCCACGAAAGCCTCTCGATGATATCATCGACAAGGCTAAGCCTGACCTTACCCCAGGCACTGCAGAGTTCGCCAGACGCTATTGTCTGGATGTGGAAAGTGCCCGGGCGAACTTGTTCAAGGCCCAAAAGGCCATGATTGAACAAGCTAACCGCCACAGGCGGCCTTCCCCCATCCGCACTGGTGACTATGCTGGGTGGCCAGTTCTGAGTTGTCGAGGGAGGAGGATATTTCTCCCAAGCTGTTGCCGCGCTACCTGGGTCCGTGGCAGGTGCTAGATACAGTGGGCGCTGATCCCTTCGGTCCGTCGTACGTTATCGACGTTCCGCTGCATCTACGAACCTATCCGGTCTTTCACGCATCTAAGCTGTTGCCTTTTACGCCAGCTGATGCCTTCCCTGACCGGCCCCCTCAATGGGGCCCACCAATCCCTGGCAAGGGATATGATGTGGTGGCCATTGAGGATGAGTGGGGCAGTGGCCCCGACCGGCAGTATCTTGTCAGGTTCGCTTTTCAGCCCCCTTCTGAGAACCGGTGGTTCTACAGAAGAGACCTGATCAAGACAGCAAGGTCTGTGGTACTGCAGTATGAGGCGGCTCAGAAGGGTGACCTTCGCCGTTCGCCTCGTCTGCACCCCTAGCTCGGAGGTCCTCGCTCTCGGGGAGGGTAAGCCTGCAATGACTTGCTGATTTCTGCTGCCGAGATTGACTGCGAGGCTGTATACTAACCGTAGGGTTAGATTCGCAAATTTGTTTGGCTGAGGGCGAACCGAGAGACCTGCCTGTTTGGAAATTCGTGAGGGACAGATCTGCAATTTTGGG